TTAGTCATCACCCTAGTTCAGTCCTTCATCAACTCTCACCTGGAAGAAGACTCAGATTGAGAATAGGCTAAATGTCTTTTTGGGGAATCTTACATAAATCATATTAAGAAGGGAGAGTGGGTCTTCTGATTTAAGTATTATTCCCTGCATGGGAGGCAGTCAGATGGCATCATCGTGCACAGAGCACCAGGTCTGAAATCAGGAAGACTCGTCTTCCTGAGTTCAAATTTGTCCTCAGACACTGTGTGGTCCTGGGCAAGTCAATCCTGTTTGCTTCAGTTTCCTCATCTGTAAAATGAGCTGGAAAAAGAAATGGCAAAACCACTCCAATATCTTTGCCAAGAAAACCCCAAATGGGGTCATGAAGAGTCAGAAATGATGGAAAATGACTGAAGAACAACAGTTCCCTGAGTGCTATTGTGGTTGTTGACCTGGGTTCATTCCTTGAAGGCTGGCCCCTGGAGAGCTACACTTTATTGAGTGTTTCTTTATATCTCCTTCCTGAAAGTATTTAGCAAAACATTTATTTAAAATGATCTCTCATTAATTCAACCACACCAAATGGTGAAATTGCATCTGGGGTCAGTACACATCTGGCCTAAGACACCCGAACTATAGTAGTAGCATGCTAATTTACTTCCTGTCTCCTATTTCTCCTCTCTTTCATCCATTTTCCACATGGCTGCCAAACAATATTCCTGAAACACAGGTCTGACCATGAGGCAGCTATCTGGCACAGTGGATAGACCACTAAGTCTAGAATAAGGAATGTCAGAGTTCAAATCCAGCCTTAGACATTTACTAGCTGTGTGACCAGGGGCAAGTCACTCTCTCTGAGACTCAGTTTCTTCATCTGTGAAACAGGGATAATAACAGCACCTACTTCTCAGGGTTGTTGTGAGGAAAAAATGAGCCAGTATTTCCCTTGTTGTTGAGTTGTTTCAGTTGTGTCCAATTTTCTGAGACCTTATTTTGGGGTTCTGCTTCGCAAAGATTGTCATTTCCTTCCCTAGCTCATTTTACAGATGAGGAACTGAGGCAAACAGGGTTAAGTGACTTGTCCAGGCTGGATTTGAACTCAGGCCTTCCTGACTCCAGGCTTAGAGCTCTATCTACCCAGTCACCTAGCCACCCAAGGTTACACAGGTGGTAAATGTCAGAAGCAGGATTCATCACAGGAAGAGGCAATTTAATAAAATCCTGCCATTTCACAAACAAAGAAACTCAGGCCCAGAGAAATTGAAGTGACTTTTTTGCAAAACTTAGATTGGAAATCTAGCATTTTCCATTACAACCCAACATCTCTAGCTAATGTCTTGCCCCCTGTGCTGAAGCACACTGCATCTCATCTTGTACAATTATGTCTTATTATTTATCTGAGACAATTTTTAGGACTTAACATAGATATTTTTACTTCTTCTTATAAAGGTAGGAAGGAAACAAACATTTATTAAACACCTATTATGTACCAATACTGTGCTAAGTGCGTTACAAATATCATCTTATTTGATCCTAACAATAATCCTGGCAGGTAAGTGCTTTATTTAGCTCCATTTTATAGGTGAAGAAACTGAGGCAGACAGAAGTTAAGGGACTTGCCCTGGGTCACATAGCTAGTAAGTGTGTAAGGCTGGATTTGAACTCAGTTCTTCCTGACTCTAGGCCTGGCACTCTATCCACTGTGCCACTTAGCTATCCCTACATACATACTGTATGTCCTTATAAATATTTGCTGATTGATTGACTGAAAATGAGATCGCTGTGGTCCTGACAGAACTTTCTAACTATATAATGAGAGGAAGGGAAAATGCATTTATTAAACACTTACTATATACCATATGCTGCACTAGGTACTTTACATATGTAATCTTATTTAATCTTCATAATGATGCTGGGTGGCAGGTGCTACAATAATCTCCATTTTACAGATGGGGAAACTGAGGCTGAGATAGGATAACTGATTTGTCCAGGTCACATAGCTAATAAACATCTGAGGTGGGATTTGAATTCAGGTTTTCCTGACTGCAGGCTCTGTTCTCTATCCACTGTCCCATCAAACTCCCTAGACTAGGACACACTTGGAAATTTAGTCTTCTTTAGATTTTTGCAAGCCACTGTCCATTTTCTTCATCATTCTATTGGCCCTATTCCATTTTCAACAAGCTTGCTCAGTCTTTTTTGTTTGTCTGAATTCCTGCAACCTCTGCCAGGCATAGCTAATTAAGACCTTTTCAGAATAGTACGGTACATTAAAGTGCTTTCACTCCTTTTCATCTCATCATCTCCTCACAACAGCTCTGTGAGATTGGCAGGGCATAATGGTGCTACTCATTTTACTTAGAGGAAGACGACTCAGCCAGAAGAAGAGCTTTGCTCATGATCACAGGGTTAGTAAGTGAGAGAAGGCAGCACTGGAATCTGGTTCCCCAAAAGCTTTAGCTCATCTATTACAATGCTTTTCTTCTACCACTTGCAACTGAGATTTCCCAATTATATTGATTTGATAGTGATCTGATTAGCACTAATTTCCAATTTCTTCCCCCCCCAAAGCCATACCCTTAATGCATAGAATCATAGCTACAGCTCTAGAAAAGACCTTAGAGATACTCTACCAAACATGTCCATTTTACAGATTAGGAAACTGAGGTAGAGAGAGGTGAAGTGAGCTGCCCAAGGTCAAACAGGTTGCAAGCAGTAGTTCTTGGAGCTTGGAACTGACAATTTCCTACTCTCTCCAAGTTTTCCTCTTCTCAGACCAAAACATCATCATTAACCATAACCACAGTGAAGGATTGTTGAGTCACCTTGTTTTTTTCCTAACACCAACCATGCAGTCTATAGTTAAGATAATTACACAGTCAGTTATTAGGTTGATTATTCAATAATTAGGGTTCATTACGAGGACAGATTTGTATTATCATAATATGCAACTTGGGAATATGGGGTGTTATAATAGTAATACAAAATAGACTCAATAAAGCCTGTGATCCTCTTTTCAGTTTGGTTAAATCATGGTGGGTACAGTGATGAGAGTGCCCAATTCAGAGCCACAGGGTCTGGGTTCAAATCCAGACTTACTACTTTCTACCTGTGTGACCTTGGGCAGTTCTCATCCATCTATCTCACCTATCATTTCTCTGCATCTGCAAAAATACAGAGGCCAGACTAGATGAAAACTAAGGTCCTTTTCCACCTCTGAGCCTGTGAGCTCTCAGAACATTGGCTGAGAATACTTTATATTTGTTAAAATTACAAAGTGAAAAAAAAACCCAACAACTTATTAAATATTTCTTTTTCCCCCCTCATACTGTGCTTGTCTTTAAGTTATGATCCACTGGACAAAACTCAGAAAAGTACGTGATTTAAGTTTTCAGTGTTGAGATAGGCATTTGTCAGTAGTTCACCTCATAATATACTCCGGAGCTATCTTGTTCTCAGGAGAATAACAATGATACTATTTCTATTGTATTCTATTGAAAAGTCTTAGGGCAGTTTTAAATGATTAAAGCTTAAGACTATACTGCGATTTCTGGGACACTTTGTATCATCTTATTTGAGCCTTCCAAGAGCATTGGGAAGTCCTATTATGCCCATTTTGCAGATGAGGAAACTGAGGCACATAGCAATTAAGTGTCTGGCCCAAGGTTGCACAGTTTTTAAGTCCCTGTGGTGGAATCTGAACCTATGTCTTCCTCATTCCAAGTCTGGCAATCTAACACTGTCCTGGGCCAAGCCTCCTTTCAAACAATTCCCCAAAATAGAATATCAAGGGATGTCCCTGGTAATAGTCTTCAAAGGAGTGACAGTTTTTGTGTACAGTCCCAAAGATGACATAGCCCAGCCTGACGTGAAGAGAAGGTGGAACCATATTAGGGAAAGTGGTCTTGAGGGGGAAGCAGTTTCTCTTATTTTTTTTGCAGTAACATTTTGAGAAAGGTATGGAGGTACCCTCCTGGTGCCAGGAGAGGCAATGTGGATGGATCTGTCATCAGAGGACCTGGGTTTAAATCTTGGCTCTGCTGTTAATTATCTACGTGACCTTGTGAACCTCTTGAGGTTGTGTTTTTTGTCTGTTTTAGTATCCCCAGTGCTTGGCACAGTGCCTGGCTCATAGTAGGTGCTTAATAAATGTTAGTTGACTGACTGATGGACTGATTCAGCCTCTCTGGTCCTTGGTTCCTTCCTTTCTAAATTGAGAGGGTTTCACTGGATGATATCCAAAGTCTATGTTCATTATGTTATGACACCCTTGCCTAGAGCCAGGAATGGCTTGCTTATTATGTATGATTTTTATAGATTGAGGCTCCCTTATTTGTCAGATAAGTTATTTAAAAAGATTATTTCATACAAAAAATGCTGGGCCAACCCAACAACTTATGTCCAATTAGATTCTTAGCATCTGAATGTCTTGGGGCAGGTCACTTAACCTTGCTGGATTTCAGTCCTCTCATTTGCACAATGACAGGAGCTGGGGGTAAACGATCACTAAGGTCCTTTCTAATTCCAGATCCATGATTTTAAGGAAATATTTGGGGGGCAGCTAGGTGGTGCAGTGGATGGAGTGCCAGCCCTGGAGGCAGGAGGATCTGAGTTCAAATGTGGCCTCAGGCACTTAATAGTTGTGTGACCCTGGGCAAGTCACTTGACCCTAATTGCTTTCAAAAAAAGAGAAAGAGAGGAAGGAAGAAAGGAAATAAAAATACTTGGAAACATTTACAGTAGACTCAAATAAGGCTCTCATTTTGGTAGGATCATAGATTTAAAGCTCAAAGGGCCATCTAATCCAACCCTTTCATTTTATATAGGAGGAAACTGAGACACATTCAGAAAAGTTGAATGACTTGTCCAAGGACACACACAAATGGTAGCAGAGCTGAGGTTTAAACCCATGTTCTCTGTTTCCTGATTTGTATTGATTTAACATTCCCATAATTATCTAGGATAATTGCCCCCCAGAAAGGAGGGAACAGTGTAGTCACCTTAGTGCAGCTACCACTTACCTGTTCTTGCAGGTGGCTGATATTTTCTTCATATTGAGAGTAATCTTGCTTCTTGTCCAGATCCCTCTTCTTATGCCACTCCAGAATGCGACTTTCAAGTTTTGTATTGGCTGCCTCCAGGGAGCGTACCTTCTCCAAGTAAGAGGCCAGACGGTCATTCAGATTCTGCATCATCTGCTTCCCATTCCCACCAGTGAGGATGCTGCCTCCTTGGTTTACACCAAAGCCTGTTCCATAGCCCCCAGGTTTGGGGGATGACCAGAATGATGCTGTGGAGGAAATAGAGACTCGAACACCTCCTGCGCCTCCATGGACACTGGGTGCCCTGGGGAAGATCCCAGGCCTGGCCCAGCCATAGCCTGAGCCCTTGAAGGCACCCGAAGGGGACTGGAAGGGACTTCGGCTGGAGCTCATGCTCCCATCGGTCAGGGATACAGCACTGGGCTCTTCTTTCCCACTGGCACCTGCTTAACTGAACAGCCTCCAGCTGCCTGGGTCCTCATTCTTTTATGCCCTTCCTTCTCTGTGGGAGTTCCCTTCCCTCCCCAGGCCATGGGAGCAATAAGATCTTGTCTTGTGCAATCTGTGTTTCCTCTTGGTCAATTCTGGAGCCTTTACAGGCTGTTGTCATTGTCATTTGAAACAACAACATACGAGATTTTTTTTTCCTGTCCTCCTTTCTTGACCATGAGGTGTGTCCCAGGGCCTGGGTGTGTGTTAGCTTCAAGTAGGTTGTTAATCTTTGAGTAGATGCTCCATATGTTTCCCTTTGAGATTAAAAGAATCTGACAAAAGAACAGATTAAAATCCAGAAAAGTTGACTGGGTGTGGTGGTGGGAATTTCCTTGTAAAAGTTACAGAATTAAAACAAAAACAAAAACAAAAACAAGCCACCCAACATTTTTAAAAGGGAACAAAAAATTTCTAAACAATTAAACTCAACCAGTTCAGAACTGGTTTGAAAACTTTTAAGGATATCCCTTTATGTCAAGGAAATGGTAACACTGGTCAACCACTCTCAGTCCTGAACTTGGTTGGCATGAAGTAAAGAACATCAATGGAAAGTAGTTTCAAAGGGATAGCTTTTAACGTGCAAACCCTAAATTAGAATGAATTAATTAATAATTGTGTCCCTCATTTCCAGGGTGCCTTTCATCCCATCATACCTCAGAACTAAACAAACTCCTAGCTGAGTGATGTACGTAGCCCCTGGGAGGAATACTGCAGTTGCTTAACGATCTCTTGACAACTTGGCAAAGCAGTTGAGGTCAGAAAGTGGGAAAGATGTTGCATTGTCTGAAGACAACAGACAATTTGGGGAATTTGAGGAAATGATTGGGGAATGCTCTGCAGCATTTTCTTGGAAAAGTAAATTTTGTTAATCTTTTGTTTTTATAACACCTATATTATTTTTCTATTTTTATCATATTATATATCATTACTCTATTATTATTTGTTATATCTATATTTAGAATGTATTATATATGGAAAGAAATTGATATTTTATATCATATTTACATGTTACATGTAGCAAATATTTTATGTATCAAATTATAGATATAACATTTCATACATTTATATGGATATTTTATATCACCTAATGTATTTCTTACTCCTTCTCAGAGAGCCATATCTTCTAACAGAAAAATAGGAAAATTGAAAAAATAGTTTAGCAAAACTAACCAACATATAGAAAAGTCTGACATTATCAGCACGATTCTATACCCAAAATCTCGAGTTTAGCACAGAACCTAGCACAGGACAGGTGTTGAATAAATGCCAGTTGACTGATTGCCTCTGCGAAGAAGGGAAGGCGAGAGAAGTGCCTTCTTATATCTCATCTTTAGGACCAAGCCTAGTCTTTTTAATTTCCTAGCATCCAGTTTCTCTTGGTTTGTTGTTATTTGTCTTTTCATTGACATTGTTGTTGCCATAGTTTTCCACATTCTGCTTATTTTACTTTGGATCAGTTCATATAATTCTTCCCATGCTTTTCTATTGTCATCATATTCTTACATCACATTATACTCATGTACTACAACTCTTTTAGCCATTCTCCAATCATTAGACATTTATTTCATTCCCAATTCTTTGGCACAAAATTTTAAATACCATTTATTGTATTTAGGTGGCACAGTGGATAAAGCACAGGGCTTGGAATCAGGAAAACTTATCTTTATGAGTTCAAATCTGGCCTTGGATACATTTTAGCCATGTGACCCTGGGCAAGTCACTTAATCCTGTTTGCCTCAGTTCCTCATTTATAAAGTAATTTGGAGAAGGAAATGGCAAACTACTCTAGTACCCTTGCCAAGAAAACCTCAAATGGCATCACGACTGAAATGACACAACAGCCATAACAACTTTTCTTCTGCTTAGTTTGAGGTTGCTGTTGCTCACTCGTTTTAGTCATGTCTGACTCTTCATGACCCCATTTAGGGTCTTCTTGACAAAGGTACTGGAGTGGTTTGCCATTTCCTTCTTCAGTTCATTTTACAGATGAGGAAACTGAGGCAAACAGGGTTAAGTGACTTGCCCAGGGTCATACAGCTAGTAAGTGTCTGAGGTAGCATTTAAATTCAGGGAAATGAATCTTCCTGACTCCAGGCCTGGAACTCTATGCACTGGGCCACCCAGTTTAAGGTTAGATAATTAAATTAAATCCAAGTCAACAAATGTGTATCAAACATGTACCATATATGAGACTATATTAGGTGCTGGGAATACAAAGAGAAAAATGAATAGTGGTTTTCCTCAAAGACTTTCCACTCTACTGGGGGATATAATAGGTACACAAATAACTTTAGAAAAAGGAAAAGTGAGGACAGGCTATTATAGGGACAGGTAGAGCTTAGGGAAGACTTTCTGAAGGAAGTGGTAGCTGAACAGATTTTTGAAGGAAGATGAAGATTCTGAGAGGTGGAGGACATGAGGAAGGCACGTGTTCCAGGAATGGAAAACGGCTAGTCAAGTTTGGATGTAATATGGCATAGAAGCTGCAAAGGTAATTGGGACCCACAGCATGGAGGGCCTTAAACACTGGGTTAAGGAGTTTGTATTTTATTCATAGGCAATGAAGAGACATTGAAGATTTTTAAAGATGAGGATGACATGAATAAAATGGGATGGGGCCACTTCCAGGCTGTTGACACTTGAACTTGAAGGAGTCTTAAATAAGGAAGCACACACATACACACACACAAAGAATTTAAATATGTAGATCAGTCTTTTGCTGAGCACAGAATCATAAATATAGAGCTGTCTGAGGTAATTTTCTTCACCCTCCCATTTTACATATGGCAAAACTAAGGCATAGGGATTATGCCCTCAAGTGACTTACCCAAGGTCACAAAGGTAGTATCAGAGGCAAGATTTGAAACCAGGTCCTATGACTCTATAGCCAGAGCTCTTTTCCCTCTACTATGTTATTCTTCCTAATTCTTTCTCTATCTTTCTCAGGAGTTTCCTGATTTGTCCCAATGTCAGATTCCCCTTCACAGTCCATCTGTTGTTAATGCCTTCCATCTGAGATCCAGCTGCTCCGTATATATCTTATATGTACATATTTGTTTGTAAGCTCCTTGAGGGCAGGGACCTTGCATACAGTAAGCACTTAATAAGTGCTGCTGCTGCTGAATGTGAACTATGAGAAGTAGAGAGTAGGGCAAGCTAGGAGAAACAAATCAACTAGATTGCAGTTGTATGTAGAAATGTAGAAATATATTTGCCAGTTAGATGTCAACTAAAAATGCAGCCTTCCACCCAGGTCTTTATTTGGTTGGAAGCTGTTTGGAGAGTGTCATTTCTGATTTAGGGGACTCTTCTGAGAAGATACAATAAATATTAAAGGGGGCCACAAAGGAAAGGAAGGTAAACAAATATCCTCCTCTTTCTTGCATCTGAAACCAAGAATATGAGAAAAGAGAGAGATGACAGAGAGAAAAGCAAACAAAGGAAACGCCAAGACTTCATCTGACATGTGGGGGCAAGAACTGGTTTTGCTGCTTTGAACATTTCTTGGGAGACTGTTATGTTGGAAAATGACAGTCAGGACAATTTTTGCTATGGTACAAACAGATAGCCTTAAAAGGAAATGAACGAGGACCCAGGGCATTGGTAGGCTACATCCCAAGTTGCACTCATGTGCCCTAGACCCTTTAATTAAAGTCCATCATGGAAGGGATTAATTCTCTGCCCCTTTAGGGTCTGCTTGAGTGGCAGTGATTTAGAACCACAGCTATAGGGAAAATTACCTTCAGACAATTCTAGCTGGCAGACTTAATGTTATTCTGTCATGTCCTGTAATAAATCAAATGTTGGTAAAAGAAAAAAATTGTTTTGCCCAAGAATGTACCTACTTCTGCCAGGTTTTGAAGAAATAGGAGGGTATTTTTCTTGTAACTCTAAACTTGTGCAGTTCTGTCAAAAGATATGTCAGAAGTTTCAGACTCTGAAACTTTTCATTTTCAAGGAAAGTCAAATGGCCCATGAATTGACTTGAAACTTGTCTTATTTCAAGGACTCCTAAAATTGAGAGGAAGTTCAATAAGTTATCTGGTGCAGCTTCCTGATGCCTGCCAGGTCAGGAATGATTTCTGCATCCTATTTTCAAAGATCTCCAGAAATGGCAAACTTCTAGCATTTACCCATCCTTTCAGTCAAGAAATCCTTGACTTTTATAGACTCATGAATTGAATATTTTGTGTGCAACAAATCTGAACGCATAAATGATACTCTTTGGATGGCTTAACATGGAAAAGAATCATAGTTTGGGGTGTAATTTTGGATATCTAGGACAACATAGGGTATTTAACAACAGATTGTGTGTGTGTATATATGTGTATAGCATGACATCTTCCATGTGGTGCTTCTTTAATAAGTGTTTGTTAGATTAAAAATTGACCTGGAGCCTACATTCCCTCTTCCACCCATTTCTATGTCATCATTAAAAGAGGTCAGGATCTGGTGGATCTTATGGGAGAGGTGAGGAACGAGTGAGCTGGGGTTGTGTGGGTGTATCAGGAATCAGAAGGATACCTTGTCAACAATCATTAATTGGTACCAGAGCTTGTCTGCATTTTTAAAAAGCAAACATTCTATCACCGAATGTTTCCCTAGACAGGATTGCTGCAGATGACAGAAGGACTTTTGCAGCAAATGACATTTCAAGACACATGATTAATGGATCATTAGGTGTTATTGCTCTATTATTATTCTGTGATTCTTGGGATTACAATGAAAAGATGAGATACTTATAGAAGCAAACCTAGCTCCTACAGTGACACTAAGTTAGAGATTTTGCAAGATAGTATGGTCATTTGTTGTTGTTCAGTTAATCAGTTGTATCTGACTCTTTATGACCCCATTTGGGGTTTTCTTGGCAAAGATGCTGGAGTAGTTTGCCATTTCCTTCTCCAGCTCATTTACAGATGAGGAAACTGAGGCAATCAGCATTAAATGACTTGCCGAGGATCACACAGCT